TATGAATTTCTTTATTCCATCCTTAATTTCTTCTATAACCCAGTAGTTTTTGAGCAAGGTATTGTTCAGTTTCCATGTGTTTGATTTTTTTTCCTTGCTTTTTCTGTTGTTGATTTCTACTTTTATGGCTTTATGGTCAGAAAAGAAGCTTTGTAATATTTCGATGCTTTGGATTTTTTTAAGGCTTGCTTTATGGCCGAATATGTGGTCTATTCTGGAGAATGTTCTATGTGCGTTGGAAAAGAAAGTATACTTGGCTGCTGTTGGGTGGAGTGTTGTATATGTCTATGAGATCAAGTTGGTTGATTGTAGAATTGAGCTCTTCCGTGTCTTTTTTGAGCTTCTTTCTGTATGTTCTGTCCTTCAGCGAAAGTGGTGTGTTGAAGTCTCCTACTACTACTGTGGAGCTGTCTATCTCTCTCTTCAGTGCTGTTAGAGTTTGTTTTATGTATTTTGGAGCCCTGCCATTGGGTGTGTAAATATTTATTATAGTTATGTCCTCCTGGTGTATTAACCCTTTAATCATTATATAGTGACCTTCCTTATCCTTTGTGGTGGATTTTACTTTAAATTCTGTTTTGTCAGAGATTAATATTGCCACTCCTGCTCTTTTTTGAGTGTTGTTTGCTTGATTTTTTTCTATCCTTTGAGTTTTAGCTTGTGTGTTTAAGTCTAAGGTGTGTCTCTTGTGGGCAGCATATAGATGGATCGTGTTTTTTTATCCACTCTGCCACTCTCTGTCTCTTTATTGGTATATTTAGTCCGTTTACATTCAGCGTAATTATTGATAGGTAGGAGTTTTGTGCTATCATTTTGATGTCTTTTTTTGTGTGTTGTTGGCAGTTTCTTTGTTCAACTTAATTTTCTGTGCTGAGTCGTTTTTCTTTATGTATTTTCTTTCCATCTTTTTCATTGTCGTTGATTTTGTGTTTGCTGAGTCTTTATATTTTTCTAGTTTTTTATTTTGACTTGTAGGATTGTTGGTTTCCTTTGTGGTTGCCTTAATATTTACCCCTATTTTTCTAAGTTTATACCAGTCTTTTATTTCTATCACCTTGACTTCCTCTCCATATGAAAAATCTATGTCTACATTTTTAAAGTCCCTCTTTTTTGTTTTAATGTTGTCATCTTTTACATATTGACATCTGTTTCCCTATTTTCAGTGTTTTAGCTTTGATTTACTTTTGTGACTTCCCTATACTTCTGTTTATCTGGAAATGTCCTAATTTCGCCATCATATTTGAGAGCGGTTTTGCTGGATATATAATTCTTGGCTGGCAGTTTTTTTTCCTTCAAGGCTTTATATATGTCATCCCATTGCCTTCTTGCCTACATGGTTTCTGCTGAGTAGTCTGAGCTTATTCTTATTGACTCTCCTTTGTAGATGACTTTTCGTTTCCCCCTAGCTGCTCTTAACATTCTCTATCTTTGGTTTTGGCAAGTTTGATTATAATTTGTCTTGGTAACTTTCTTTTCGGATCTGCCTTATGTGGGGTTCGATGAGCATCTTGAATAGATATCTTGTCATCTTTCATGATATCAGGGAAGTTTTCTCCCAACAAATCTTCAACAATTCTCTCTGTATTTTCTGTTACCCCCCTGTTCTGGTACTCCAATCCCTCATAGGTTATTCCTCTTGATAGAGTCCCACATAATTCTTAGGGTTTCTTCATTTGTTTTAATCCTTTTATCTGGTTTTTCCTCAAATAAGTTGGTGTCAAGTGCTTTCTCTTCAGTCTCACTAATTCTGACTTCCATTGCCTCAGTTCTGTTCCTTTGACTTTCTATTGAGTTGTCTTATTCTGAAATTTTATTGTTTATCTTCTGGATTTCTGATAACTGTCTGTCTATGGATTGTTGCAGCCTGTTAAATTTGTCATTAAGCTGTTCTTTAGTCTTTTTGATTTCTTTATTGCATGTTCTGTGTTTTGCTTAATTTCCTTCCTAATTTCTTGAAGAGTTCTGTATATTAATCGTTTATATTCTGCCTCCGGTAATTCCAAGAAATATTCCTCCTCTGGAAAATTTCTAGATTCTTTATTTTGGGAGCTTGCTGAAGCCATCATGAATTACCTCTTATGTGATTTGATATTGACTGTTGTCTCCGAGCCATAAGTTATTATATTTATTTTATGTTTGCTTACTTTGTTCTAGCTTTTGTTTTGTTTTGACATGCCCAAATAGGGTGCTTATATGAGCTAGTTTGATTATTGGCACCTTTGAAGCTCTACTGTCCTGTCAGCAGGTGGTTAGATCTGTTCCTAGGTATGTGAGCTCAGGAGTCTGCCCACTCCTCCTGTATGGATTTAGCTCAGGTGCCCAGGTAGATAGCTACCAAGTGTGTAGTGTAGGCTCTCACTTACAGTCCTAGACAGGCATGGGTGATTGGTGTAGGCACAGGCATCTGGCTGCAGCAGGGGGACACACTCTGAGCAAGTCGTCCCGAGTGGCCAGGAGGAAGGCATGTCCCTGTTCCCTAGAGGGCGTAGGTGGGCGGGTTTTGCAGCCGGACTATGAGCACCTAACGCTGTTGGCTGTAACGAATGGGAGTCACCTCTTATTCATGGGCCCCTCTCGCAGGTGGGTAGGTGGCATGGGTGGATCCACCAGTCCTCAGGCCCCTGATGTGGGTAGGTGAAGACCCTTCTTAATGGGCAGAGCAGTGTCAAATGTCAAGAACCTGCCACTTCATAGCTGAAACAGTTGAAGTTAGAGTTCTGGTACATACTCTGTTGTACTGTGGTAATGAGGGCCTACGCTGTTGAGATGGGCCCACACAAGTCTACGCAGGGAGAAAGGCACTCAATGTCCATGGATCCCTTATGCCTATGCCTAGGCAAAGGAGCTGTACCTACCCTGGGTTCTTGGCTTAGGGGAGCCGGCAGTTTATTTTTTGCCATTTGTTAATTTGTTCACTCTCCAAGGCAGGGGGAATGGCTCCGGGCATGTGACGGATCCTACTTCTGGCCCAGGGGACTCGGCAGTTGCTGAAGCCAGTCCAGGACCCAGTGCAGAGCAGGGATCGGGGAGGTAAATGGGAGAGAGGTTTTTCCCTAAGGCGGGTGTTTTTGATACCCGCAGTAAGCCATATGCAAGTACTTATCTTTCATGGAGGGCTGCTTCTCACTGGTTCTGGGTGGCTGTGTAGAGTCTCTGGTGCTGGGTCTCTCCTGGTCCGGAAAAAGCGCTTCCCGAGCTCAGCTGGTTGCCTGCCTCACCGCTAACCCCCAAGCTGCTCAGGCCTGAAGGACTCAGGCTCTCACCTGGTCAGGTCTGGCAACTCCTCGCTGCTTCCAAACCGTCTCTCCCTCTTCTTGCCACTCAGTCCGGTTCCTCAACTCTGCCTTTGATGTTCAGGGCTCCCAGATTGCCATATGTAATCAAATCACTTGTTTTCTTGGGTCTTTGTTGTAAGAGGGTCCACTGGAAGTGTCTGACTACTCCGCCATCTTGGCCCTGCCTCTTCTATGCAGTGTTTTGTTTGTACTTCTTTTTGTTATTGTACTTTAGATGAAGATTTACAGAACAGACTAGTTTCTCATTAAACGGTTAGTACACAGATTATTTTATGGCATTGGTTGACAACCCCACGACATGTCAACGCTCTCCCTTCTCGACCTTGGGTTCCCTGTTATCAGCTTTCCTGTCCCCTCCTGCCTTCTAGTCCTTGTCCCTGGGCTGTTGTGCCCCATTAGTCTCGTTTTGTTTTATGGGTCTGTCTAATCTTTGGCCGAAGTTTGAACCTCAGGAGTGACTTCATTACTGAGCTAAAAGGGCGTCTGGGGGCCATACTCTTGAGGTTTCTCCAGTTTCTATCAGGCCAGTAAGTCTGGTCTTTTTTTACGAGTTAGAATTTTGTTCTACATTTTTCTCCAGCTCTGTCCGAGACCCTCTATTGTAATCCCTGTCAAGCAGTAGTGGTGGTAGCCAGGCACCATCTGGTTATACTGGACTTATTCTGGTGGAGGCCATGGTATATATGGTCCGTTAGTCCTTTGGACTAATCTTTCCCTTATATGTTTAGTTTTCTTCATTCTTCCTTGCTTCCAAAGGGGTGAGACCAGTGGAGTATCTTAGATGGCGGCTCACAGGCTTTTAAGACCCCAGACGCTACTCTGTTGTACCTTTTTTGTATTGTGGTGAAATATACACAGTATAAAGTTTACCATTTTTACCATTTTATAGTGTTTTTTAGTGGCATTTAGTACATTTACAATGTTGTGCAACCATCACTACTATCTACTTTTAGAACATTTTCATTACCCCAAAAGGAAACCCTATACCCATTAAGCAGTCACCCCCCTCCCTTGACCAATCTGCTTTCTGTCTCTAGGAATTTGCCTGTTCTGGATCAGTTTCACAATATGTGGCCTTTTGTGCCTGGTTTCTTTCCCTTAGCATAATACTCTTAGGGTTTCTTCATGTTTTAGGATGTGTCAGTGCTTCATTCCTTTTTACTGTCTAATAATATTTCATTGTATGGATATATTACATTTTGTTTACTGATTCATTACTTGATAGACATTTGAGTTGTTCCCACCTTTGGCTATTACGAATAGTGCTGCTGTAAACATTTGGGTGCAAGTTTTTATTTGAACACCTCTTTTCAATTCTTGTGGGTATTAACCGAAGAGTAGTATTTTTGGGTCACATGGTGATTCTGTGTTTAACCTTTTGAGGAAACACCAAATCATTTTCCACAGCGGCTGCACGTTTTACATTCCACTAGCAATGTATGAAGGTTTGTATTGTGGCTTTTGAACTCATTTTTTTACTTCATCGGCTGGTCTTAAGGAGATTCTTTTTCAACTTCGTTTGGCTAAGATTGAATTTAGCAGCTTTCGTACCCTTTGCACTGTCTCAAATTCAGATTTATGTACATGAACAGAACTGTTTTACCACTCTAGAGATGACAGTGTCAAGAGGTCAACTAGTTCACAAGAATTTGGTGGTCTTTGGACATGTTAACACTTTTTTCTTTGCTTGCAGTGATCACTGGCCAGCATCGAAGTGGTGTCATTTCAGCCCGAACTCGGATTGATGTTCTTTTGCATACTTTTAGAAGGAAGCAACCCTTCACTCACTTCCTTGCCTTTTTCCTCAATGAAGCTGAGGTTCAGGAAAGATTCCTGAAGTTCCAGGAGGAAGTACTGGAGAAGTGCTCCATGGTAAGCAGCAAACAGAACAAGTCAAAAGTTAAATATACAGAAGGGTACAAAAATGATTCAGAATTCAAACAGTGGAAAGACACAAACCTCTTCCCCCACCAAAAAAGGTTACAATTTTTTGTGTTGTTGTTTTTTTTTTTAATAATTTTGAACTGAAAAAATGTGTAGACATATTGGCACATGTCTCTAGATCTTACAGAAATATCCTTAAAAAATTTTGAGACCCAAAAAAATCATCCTGTTATGCCCACTGTTGTGCACCTTGTGGGTAACCCATTAACCTGTAGCCATTGAGTCGATTCTGACTCAATAGTGACCCTATAGGACAAAGTAGAACTGCTCCGTAGGGTTTCCAGGGAGCAGCTGGTGGATTTGAACTGCCTACCTTTTTGTTAGCAGCCGTAGCATGCCATAGCTCTTAACCACTGCGCCACCAGGGCCCCACTTTGTGGGTAGCAATGTTAATGTGATGCCATTCCCTGTAGTATTCTGCCTTTGGGGAGTCATGGCTCATTTGAGGTTAGTAACTAAAAGGCAGATTCACATACAGAATTGTCATCGTGAAATGCTTGTGACCAGCATAATAGCAGGGAATCCAGATTAGAAAACAAGTTTTAAAACTCCTTTTGGTTATATTTTTAGGTGATTTAAAAAAAAAAAGTTTATAGATTTTTTAAAATTATGAAAGCAATATGTGTTTATTATAGAAAATATAGAAAAGATTAATAAAAACCCACTCATATTCCCACCAGTGAGAGATAGTTGCTTCTGATATATGCGTGTGTATATGTATATATGAGTATGTGTATATACATACAGTGTTAAAAAAAAAAATGTAATTTGGCTTGCGTGTGGTTTTATGTACTGCTTTCTTTGAAGCTTACCAGCATACCGTGAGCATTGTTTTATGTTATGAAACAAAAAACCTAAGTCTTTTGCTTTGGAGACCAGGAAGGAAATGGTAACAGTGATGACCAAAATAGCAATCAGATTTCAATAACTGTTCAGGTGATCTAATTTTTGATGGCTTGCGTACTATCCTGTTGTATGGATGTATAACAGTTTAACATTTTCTTTATTGTTGTTTCTGCTTTTTCATTATTATTAATAATGCTGTTATGAGTATTCTACTGCGTATATTTTTCTGAACTAGTCGGATTAATTTCTTAAATTCCTGAAGTGGAAAAGAGTATGTGTATTTGAGGTTTTTGATATACATATCCAAATTACCTTCTGGAAGTGTTACAGCACTTTGCCCTCTGAGCAACAGTTTTTCCTTAGGTTTCTTTTCCCACTCTTGCCAATACTGAGCACTATCATTCTTTTACATTTTTTTTTTGTAATCCATTTGACAAAAAATGTTAACTCATTGCTTTGCCCAAACACCAAACCAACTGTTGTTGAGTTGATTCTGACTCACAGTGACTCTATAGGACAGAAGAGAATTGCCCAATAGGGTTTTCAAGACGGTAGTCTTTATGGAAGCAGATTGCCACATCTTTGTCCTGTGGAGTGGCTGGTAGGTTTGAACTGCTGACCTGTTGGTTAGCAACCAAGCACTTAACCACTGGACCACCAGGGCTCCATCTCATTGCTTTACTATTCATTTATTTGATTATTTGTGAGATAAGAAGTTTTCATATCTTTAACTATAATGTCTGTTTACATCTTGACCCACTTTTCTCTGAGAGTGTTCATTTTTTGTTTATTTGTAAGAGCTTTCTACATATTACGATTATCAGCATTTCTTCATAATTTACGTTTAAACTTTTAGTCCGTTTGGAATGTATTTTGATATATGGTAAGAGGTAAGGCTGTAACTTTTTTATTTAAAACCCTATTAAGTTAATCAGTTTAGTTAACCAATCTAGAAGGATTTTTATAAACATTATCTCATTTTAAAAATAATCATACAGTAAAATTAACTTTTTCGGGGTGTACATTTCTATGAATTTTAACAGATGTATAGATTTCTGTAACCATCTACACAATCAGGATACAGAATAGTTCTATCACTCTCCTGAACTTCCTTGTGCTATCCCTTTTATAGGCACCTCCTTAAGTCCGGACACCTGGCAACCACAGATCTGTTCTCCAGCACTAAAGTTTTGATTTTTCGAGAATGTTATATAAGTGGAATCCTACAGTATGTAACCTTTTGAGTCTGGCGTCTTTCACTCAGCATAATGTCTTTGAAATTCATCCAGGTTGTCATGGGTATCAGTAGTTTCTTCCTTTTAATTGCTGAGTAGTATTCCATTGTATGGATGCACCACAGTTTATCTGTTCCCCCATTGAAGGACTTTTGGGTTGTTTCCAGTTTTTGGTGATTATGAATAGAACTGCTATAAACATTTGTATATAGTTTTTTGTGTGAACATAAGTTTTCATTCTTTTAGGGTGAACGCCTGTGAGTGAGGTTGCTGGGACATGTGGTGGATGTATGTTTAACTTCATAAGAGACTGCCAGACCGTTCTTCATACTGGCCATACCATTGGCATTTTCACCAGCAGTTTATGAGTGTTTCAGTTGCTCTGCATCTTCACCAGCATTTGGTGTTAGTCATTATTTTTTATTTTAGCTATTTTAATAGGTGTATAGTGGTATTTTGTCATGGTTTTAATTTGCAATTCCTTAATGGCTAATGAGCCCTGGTGGTGCACTGGTTAAGTGTTCAGCTGCTAACCAAAAGGTCAGCAGTTCAAATCCACCAGCTGCTCCTTGGAAACCCTGTGGAACAGTTCTACTCTGTCCTGTGGGGTCGCTATGAGTCAGAATCAACTTGATGGCAATGGGCTTTTTTTTTTTTAAATGGCTAATGAAGGAGCCCTGGTTGCACAGCAGTTAAAGCTCTTGGTTGCTAAGTGAAAGGTCAGTGGTTCGAACCCGTCAGCGGCTCCGCAGGAGAAAGATGTGGCAGTTGGTCTTGGTAAAGATTTACAGCCTTGGAAACCCTATGGGGCATTGTTCTACTCTGTCCTATAGGGTCACTATGAGTCGAAATCTACTCCCTGGCAGTGGGTTTGGAATGGCTAATGATGTTGAACATCTTTACATGTGCTTTTTTGCCATTCTTATATCCTCTTTGGTGAGGTATCTGTTCAATATTTGCCCATTTTAAAATTGTGTTGTTTTCTTACTGTTGACTTTTGAGAATATTTTATTTATCCTGGATACGGGTTCTCTCCAGGATTGTAAATCCTTGTGATTTGCAAATATTTTCTCCCAGCCTGTAACTTCTCTTTCTTAGTCACCTATCAGTGCCTTTTGCAGAGCAGCAGTTTTTAATTTGGATGAAGTCCAATTTACTAATTCTTTCTTTCATGGATTGTGCTTTTTGTGTCATGTCCGCAAACTCTTTGCTTAACCCCCAGTCACAAAGGTATTCTCTTAGGTTTTCTTTTAGACGTTTTATAGTTTTACTTTTTATATTTGGATCTATGATTCTTTTTGGGTTAATTTTTGTATAAGGTATGAAGTTTAGGTTTTTCATTTTTCTGTATATGGATGTCCATGCTTGTGCTTTCTTAATCTTGTAGTAAAGGAGGAATGAAAGCATTTGTAATAAAATTGAACAATGGTAAATATATTTGGCTTTTGAAATAGATGGAGCTAGGCTTGGTTCTGGGCTCCTCAGTCTGGGTGGGCTTGGGCAAATTAGCGTCTCCAGATCTTACAGCCTGCTTCAGAGGGCTCTGTTGTTGTTGTCGTTGTTAGGTGCTGTTGAGTCAGTTCCAAGTCATAGTGATCCTGTAGGACAAAGCAGAACTGGCCCATAGGGTTTCCAAGGAGCGGCTGGTGGATTTGAGCTGCCAACCTTTTGGTTAGCAGACATAGCTCTTAACCACTGCGCCACCAGGGCTCTAGGAAGGATTAAATGAGATAACATAAAATCCTGGGTATGGTGCTTGATCCATTTAATAAATGGTAATTGCTACTCCTGCTGTTATTATTGCTGGTTAGGTTAAAGTTATTAGCATTATTTGGAGTGTTAAGAATAGCTTTGATAGTTGTGGGCAAAGTTAGTGAAAATGTTTTTGGGTGAATATTTTTGCAAGAGTCATCTTTTTCTTTCACTTCTTTTTTCACTTCTCCTTTCGCTTTCCCTTTCCTTTTTCCGTTCCTTTCCTTTTCTTATTGACATTGCTCAAGCTGAGTCTTAGGTGTTAGAATATGGTGAGAGAGGGATATGCAGGTATAGAAATATCAGAAACCAAATACTTTTGTAGGAGGTGAGAGACTGATAAAATTGATTATATTAAAAAGAGGCTCTGAAGGTGAATAGATTTACACTGGGTAAATATGAGTAGACAGTCTGGACTTAATACAGAATTAGTATAGAATTATGTAACCCCCTTCTAAACGACTAGTTTATGCACTTGAGCGTGGGCACGCTGAAAAGTCTAATACTGTGTGTATTTATACGGATGTTCATCAGTGAACCATCAGAACATCTTTTTTCTCCTTAATATTTTATAGCAAGATGATTTTATTCTCAGTAAGGGTGGAGGGTGGGGTAGGAGAAGATCAGGAACACTGAAGTTTCAATATAGGCTGGTGCATTTTGTTGCTGTTGCTGTTTTTAGGCTTGTCATTTTACCTTGTAAATACCAATTAGTTGAAGGTCAATGATTATATTTTCTTTGGGGTATTATAAATACCTGGTATGCAGCAAGCAGATTGTAATAAATTAACCTTTCTTTTTTCTCTTTGTGGTGCGTGTATGTGCTTTCTCACTTCTTTTGGCTGTTGACATGGGCTGACAGGGAAACACATGTTGGAATGATTACTTTACCTCAGCCAAAATGGGTTGGCCGCTACGGACATCATGCTGGCATTAATGAGTCGGAAGTACTTCCTTCCTGCTCTCAGGGAGACTCCATACTGACATTGCCTCCTTCCTGCCTTCAAATCAGGCCCTGATAACAGCAGGAAATAAACACAGCATAAAAGAGGAAATAAGCAAGGGGCCATTATCTACCTATTACATGGAAGAGAT